TTTGTTTGTTTGTTTGTTTGTTTGTTTTGCTATAGGGTGTGTGTATGCATCAGAAAGAAAGAGACAGACAGAAAGTGAGAAATCACCCTCCAGGGGAATGACCACTCCACAATCCCTTCTCCTCCATTCTACTCTCAGGATCTTGGGCACGCACATGTGCCTGGTGTGAGTTTAAGCCACTGGGTCTAGGACTCAAACCGTGATTGACCATATGGAAGTCCACCGATATAGCCATTACGCTAACTGCTGGTCCCAATATGGTTTTATTCCTTTCTCTTATTTTGCATAGTTTCTTTTCTTTGTGGTAACCATTAGGCATAAATAAAATGTTAATATAGCAGTATATCATAAGCCAGTAACAACCTCAATTACATACAAAAATTCTACTCTTTATTCCCATATACATTTTATATTACCTAAGTCACAATATATTTTTTATTTTATGTACATTAACACATTTATGTTATGGTTACTATTTTATCTCTTAACCTTTATACTACAATTAAAACAGATTTATCCACCACCATTACAGTATTACTTACTTTGTATTTTTCTGTATATTTGCTATTAATAGTGACTTTCGTACTTTCAGGCACCTTACTGTCTAGGCTAGGCCCATGAGAGCGTGCCTAGGTGATTGTACTGTGCATCTCACAAAATTTAGAAGTAAAGCCATTGGAACCTGGACTTTTCCTTGTTGAGAGACTGTTTATTACCGATTCAATCTCATTGCTTTTTAGTGGTCTATTCAGACTTTGTTTCTTCCTGGTTTGCGGTTCTAGTCTCGGACCCGGTGGCTTAAACTCATGCCTGGTACATGTGCGTGTATGCCCAAAATCCTGAGAGGAGAATGGCGGAGAAGGGATTGAGGTGTGGCCATCTCCCCTGGGGGGTGATTTCTCACTTTCTCTCTCTCTGTCTTTCCAGCGAGCACATGTGCCCTATAGCAAAAAACTCTCAAAATAATAATAATACAATATATCAACTATAGTCACCATGCTGTACACTAGATCTCTAAAACTTACTCCTCCTATCTAGCTGCAATTATATATTATTTGGCCAACATCTCCTCTGTCTCCCTCCCCACTAGCCACCCCAACCTCTGATAAACACCGTTCTTCTCCCTACTTCTATGAGATAAAGATCTCTTTAAACTAAAGTTCAGTTACCAGCCTTTTGAATCTGAAAAAATTCTCTTTGCTCTCTATCCCTCCTCTCTTGTTATTTATACCTTAAAAGATGTTTCTCTATCTTGATATCTTCTTTCTCATCCTCAAAGGGTCATTGCAGTGAAGGGCTAATGTACCGAAGAGATTTTTTCCCTCAGCTCTTCTGTCCTAGCTCGAGGTATCAAATGCTACTGGAGAAGTGCCATGGAGGGTTTTTTGTTTTTTGTTTTTTATTTTTTCCCTCTTCCTTGCTCCACTCATAGAATCTGGAAGGTCAATTAAGTGTACTTAGTAAAGACACAAAGTACTTTGGAAAAATTTCTCTGAAGGATGGTTTTGTTTTGTCCTTAAATTATTTACTGCCTCGCATATAACAGGCACCCAATAATTTAATGAATATTGATTTTGTCCTCTTTGATTTCAGGGTCAATAGGATACAATGACAGATAACAGAAGTTTTTCATTCAATCTATAGAATTCAGATTATTTTCAATCTTTAAGTGAAATTTTACTAGGCTCCTTAAAGTTGTAGTCAAATGATTTGTGATATGCCCTATCTTCTATCTCACTCAAACCATGGAAATATGGTCACATAAGGGTATAGGAAGTACAAATCATTTGTTGCTCTGAATTTATTTTCTCAGGTGTGGGATACCACATAGTCATGGTGAAAGAACCTCAGTGTGATGTTGAAGAAGTTTCAAAATTGATTTGTTATCATATACCAACAGCTACTTTGGAGAACAATGTTGGAACTGAATTATCATTTATCCTTCCCAAAGAGTACTCACACAGGTATGGATCCAGAGAGTGTTAAATGATTGATTTCCTATACATGGAGAAATAATAGTTTTTCCTGGGTTCTTCAGAAATAGCAAGTAGAATGTATTTAAAAAGACAAAATTCTGGTCATAGCTGTCGCTTGCATTGAAGAGAAGATGCTTGGTGTTAATGGATGATAGTCAATGGTATGCTGTTGGAGTAAAATTACTCCTGGTGAGTGGAGTAAATACTAAGATAATGAGGAAAAAAAGGAGATGGCTTAGATGGTGGTTCTTAGAGTTAGGATGACAAGAATTAAGAGAAAATAGGCAGTTTGAATATAACAGTTAGCCAAGTTATTAATCAAAGGGAGTAACAAAGACCACCTACTTGGATAACCATCCAAAGAGAAGGGAAATAGAAACTAAGAGTACTCATTGGTGACTTTCAGTGTATGATACTTTTATCTTCTCGCCATATACAAGTATTTGTTTTGGTATTTCCTAGATTCAAGCCAGTTTTCATATTCATCAAGAACATGAAGGACTCTTAAGGTCCCCTTTTTGAGGAAAGAGATAAATGTATTACAAAAGATAAATAGAAGGAAGAGAACTGTATAATTTAAGTTTTATTTATTTCTTAAAGCATTTCCTTTAGAATAAATTTACTTTACATTTTACTTCAGGATAAGTAAGATTTATTCTTTATTCTTTTTTCAAGCCGTTGATGAATGTGAAAATTCTTTTACTGCCCCTTTGGGATGTAAATTTTCTCCCAGGTTTCTCCCTAGTTTTAAAAGCCACAAATATCTTTCTCAAAGGCCCTGGAGCCTTAGCTAGCTTTGAAAGGTAATAATTAAAAAGATAGATCCTAGTGGAGGTTCCTCAAAGATTTACTGATAGAACTATGATATGATTAGCAATTCCATTCCTGGTTGCCTACACAAAGGACAGGAGAATGCTCAGTCAGAAAAGTGCTTGCACATCTAAGTTAATTGTGGCATTATTCACGATTACTAACCAACCAAAAGGCTCATGAACAGATGAATGGATTGAAAAGTGTGTCACATATACTCCACGGAATACTATTCAGCCATAAAAAAAAGACCCTGCCATTTGATAGAAGGTGAACAAATATAGCCTGAAAGAGACATTGTGTGTCTCCACTTAATACTGACTGTCTGCCCTCTGTCTGAAAGGTTGAAGGACACAAAAGCATTGAAAATAGCTGTGGACACTGGAGACAGTGTGGAAGGAGGATGGGAGAGGAGAAGATTATAGGGAAGGAAATTAGAGAGAAAAAATAGAAAGATAAGACATTGGTGGGTACAGAAATGGTTTATTACCTGTTGATAACATGTATAGTACTCTCAACTGGACTGGTCTGAGGTGTATTTCATGTTGGGTAAATTCTCTTTATATGATAAATTATGTATAGCAATTAAATGTATAAAAATAATTATTATAATAAAAGATAGTGCCTCTGCTTCCCAGTCTCTACTAGAGCAGAGGAGACTAACTTTGAAAAGTACCAATTAGTAAACCCAGATTGACAAATCTGCCCCATAATGTCAAGTGATTTTCTACTAGCTCATCCCACTATTTAAAAATCCTCCTACCTCTATGGAAGTAAGAGATTGGAAGGTGTAAAATCATGGAGGGCAAGGGTAGATACAAGAGACACTATAGGAAGGGCTAGGTAATAGGAGGTAAGAGTAAGGGAACTGGGGAAAAAACATTCAAAAGACAAAAAATTAAAAAATATTTGGTTATGATTATATATATATGGTAATATATTGATTGGACTAATATACTCTACTAAAACTCTAAAAAACGATTCTGTATGCTATACAAATATACACTCACCAATTAGATATAAATAATGATGTATAATTAAGAAAATCCTCTGCCTCTGTGTTGTCTCCACTTTTGTTATGGTCAGCTGAATTTGATTTTCCTCCCATGTCACAATGGTGTTCTTCCCTTTTGCAACAGTCTTGAATAAAGCCTTTTTTTTTGCCATTAAAATAAATCTTATTTATTCAGTAAATCATAAGCTTTTGAGAAGCAGCCATATGGAGACAATATTATCAAGCAATAGAGTAGTCCAAGACCTAGCCATTAGAATAAAAGAATAAAATGTAATAGAAAATTGGAAATAAAATTCTAGATATGTGTCCCTAGAGATACAGGATAGTTGACTCATTCAGCAAAGATGGAGCCAAGTTTTATGTTGGTAATAGCCTAGTGGGTAATTTTGATCCATCTGGAACTATAGAATCTATATGAAGCAGAGACATGGATAAAACACTTACTTAAACTTATCATACTCTATTCCTATCTAGAGTTTTGGACATGAATGGCATTCTCAGAAGAGATGAGAAAAATCATGTGTGGATAACATTTAAAACAATGGAAGAATTTAGAAATAGATGACTTTTTAAGTTTTTAATTTCTTAAATGTATTGATACATTTAATCACTGCATCTTTACAGTGTACAAGATGTTTTTTTCCAGTATGAATGCAATGCATATCAATCAAGTCAAAGATATTACCATATACATCTTCATCAATAGATAACCTTTAATTTGTGTTTCTATTACATATTTCCCCCATCTCGTCCTTCCCACCCCTTGTTATCCACCTCCCTCTTATACTGTCTCTGATATAGTTGCCCTCCCTGCTATTGGACCTTCTCATCTTTCAGGTTCTGCCATAGAGCACAGGCATTCAGTATATATTGAGCAGAGACATACACTGTCTCTCCTTCATAGTCCAATTTGCTTTGCTTAGCATTAAATCTTCCATATTCATCCCATACTGTATATATGCCACTTTTTTTTTTCAATCTAGTCTTCTGTTCTTGGGCATTTGGGCTGATTCCATGTCTTAGTTATTACAAATAATGCTGCAATAAACATGGATGTGCAAGTGTTTTATGACAGTGTTTTCCTATCTTATTTTTGGACTTGGAAGAGAGAGATAGGAAGAGGGGGACAGCAGGTGGTATGGTGGTTAAAGTGCTAGACTCCCACATGGTCAATCACAGCTTGAGTCTCATACCCAGTGGCTTGAAACTCATGCCAGGTGCATGTGCATGCATGCCCAAAATCCCAAGAGGAGAGAGGAAGTGATTGTGGCATAGTCCTCTCCCCTGGGGGTGATTTCTTACTTTCCCTCTCTTTGTCTCTTTCGAGCAAGCGTACATGCTCTATGACAAAAACCTAAAAGAGAGAGTGAGAGAGGGGAAGAAGTTCTAAGAGATGATCAATTAATTATAGATTTTTGGGCCATAAATCCAGATATGGGATGATAGGCTAAGAACAGAATAAAATAAAAATTATGAATTTAGGGAAGAATAAATTTGTCCAGAATGGAATTCTCTCTGGGATAATTTTTAATTTTTAAGAGAAATAGGGAAACAAAAAAATAAGCAAAAAATCTACAAAATCAGCTATTTAAGAGTACAGTATGGGAAAAAATGAAATGATGGTTAAGATCTTAATGATTTCCATTTCAGCTAAATTTTTAAAATTTCACAGATAACATCGTATTTATTTTCCATGTACAACATGATATTTTCATATATATATAATATATACATATATACACACATACATATATATTCACATACATACATACATACATACATATATACTGGAATGGCTAACTAAAAAATGGATTACTTCACACTGTTATTTTTGTGGTGAGAACACTTAATATCCACTTTCTTTGCATTTGTCAAGAATACAATATATTGTCAATAGGTAACAATAGCTGATCACCTCCTTTCTTCCAGACATTGTTCTAATATGTATTTATTTGTCTGTATAAATAATATGAATTAGAAAAAAATAATTTTAAATCATACACCTGTATTTCAGTTTATTGAGTTTATCTCATAATGAAAGTAATCTCAAAATCTGAAAGCAAGGACCACCAGGTGGTGTGTTACTTAAGGTGCTGGATTCCCACATGGCTGACCATGGTCCGAATCCCAGATCTGGCAGCTTGAAAGTGGGTATGTGTACATGTGTGCCCCAAATCCTGAAAGAACTAAAGAGAAGAACTGTGGCATGGCCATTAACCTTGGAAGTGATTTCTTCTGTCTGTCTCTTTCTCTCTTTGGTGAGCACACATGCACTATAGAAAAAAACTAAACAAAGTCTGAAAACCGTGTTGTAACCTGCTGTAAAACAAACAATCCTGAGATTTGTTATAATAGAATGAAACTTAAGTTTAGAATGTAACAGTGGAGTAATAATGCAGTACTCCAAAAGAACAGATAGGTAAGAAAGATATCAGAATATTGCTGTTTGTAAGGGGATGTTTTATATGCCTAAAGTTCTTGAACTATGATAGATAATGTGCAGGAAAACCACTGAGAACAGAATAAGGAATGAAAAAAGTTACATTTTTTGAAATTCCTATAAGCTAAAAAAGGAAATACATAATACATTTTAATACAAGGCTTGAGCAAGATTACATAATAAAGTGTTTCAAGTATAGACTTACAATAGATGTCTTACCACACACGTCTCCTGAAAATTTTGTCTTTTCTTGCTAATGATTCACTTCCTAGAAAGAATCTAATTATGATCATCAAGAAAATGTTGATTGAAGTTCAAAACAAATACGTCAGATGCCTTTGAGGTATTTGTCGCATGTGGTAGACTTCACTGCATCTAAGAAGGAATGAACTTGGTAGATTCAGACACCTAACAAAATTGGAAGGTACATGGAAAATTAAGGTTCCATAACTTGACCTTCAGAAAGAGAAGATTACTCAGGAGTGTTTGGAAGCTTGAAAAATGGTATTTTGAGCAAAGATCTCAACTCTAAAGACTAAAGTCCAGTAAATGAAGATTTAAAAAATTCCTTACAGCAAGAACCCACTTAGGTGGCACCAACCTTGACTTCCAAATAGTGCATCTACAAAAGGAAATGTGAGGTGATGGCATCTACATCACAAGTCTTAAGAGGACCTGGGAGAAGCTTCTGCTAGCAGCTCATTCCATTGTTGCCATTGAAGACCCTACTGATGTCAGTGTCAGATCTTCTAGGAATACTGGACAGAGGGATGTGCTGAAGTTTGCTGCTGCCACTGGAACCACTCCTATTCTGGTGGCTTCACTCCTAGAACCTTCATTAACTAGATCCAGGCAGCTTTCCCAGAGCCATGTCTTTTGGTGGTTACTGAGCCCAGGGCTGACCACAAGGCTATCACAACATCTTATGTTAATCTACTTACCATTGCTCTGTGCAACACAGATTCTCCTCTGCACTATGTGGACATTGCCATCCCATGCAACACAAGGGAGCTCACTCAGTGGGTCTAACATGGCGAAGCTGGCCAAGGAAGTTGTTTGTACGTGTGGTACCATCTCCCACGAACATCCATGGGAGGTCATGTCTGATCTCTACTTCTACCGAAATCCTGAAGAGATTGAAAAGGAGGAACAGGTCACTACTGAAAAGGCTGTGACCAAGGAGGAATTTCAGGATGAATGGACTGCTCCAGCTCCTGAATTTACTGCTACTCAGCCTGAGGTCGCAGACTGGTCTGAAGGCATGCAGGTGCCCTCTGTCCCCATCCAGCAGTTTCCTACTAAAGACTGGAGCGCTCAGCCTGCCGCTGAGGACTGGTCTGCAGCCCCCACTGCTGAATGGGTGGGAACAACCACTGGTCCTAAGTCTGCTCTTTTATGGACTCTTACACAAAGTAGAAATAAAGTTGATAAGAAAAATAAGTTTCTTAAAAGAAAAATGGAGAGGCTGATGTAGAATACCATTAAAAGTCTCAACAGTCCAATGTGTTATTTATTTATTTATTTATTTTGGAGAGGTTTTCGCTATAGGGCACGTGCGCTTGCCAGACAGACAGAGAGAGACAGAGAGATAGAAAGTGAGAAATCACCCCCCAGGGGGGATGGCCATGCCACAATCCCTTCTCTTCCATTCTCCTCTCGGGATCTTGGGCATGCACGCACATGCGCCCGGCGTGAGTTTAAGCCACCGGGTCTGGGACTCGAACCATAGTCAACTACGTGGGAGTCCAGCGACATAGCCATTACGCCAACTGCTGGTCCCAGCCCAGTGTGTTATTGAAAAGAAGTTTTAAAAGCAGTAACATTGGCATTCATTTTCTTAGAGTTTAGGGTGTCTTCAGCAAGACCGGCTCCTACACAGCTCAATGAGAAAGATGTATGAAAGTAATGCAAATCTATGTGGCAGAGCAGAAGCAGAGCTAATATCTGAGATTAAGATCAACATGTTCATTGAAAAGATAAGGAAGAGAAATTAAAACCATGAACATGATAGATCTGATAAAGTCTTATGGGTTGATTTCTGCTTTGGCAATCTCTCTTTTGAAGTGTTCTGATCTCTTCCTCTAGATTTGCTCACACTTGTTTTAAAGGCACAGGGTTTTGAAATTGAGATCCAATCACAGGTACAAGAAAGTTCCAAAATTATATCTTAAGCAAGAATGTCAAGGGAAAAAAACTTCAACACTGTAATCAAGGGAGCAAAATTCTTGAACTCCTTTTTTGGGTCAATCTTTTCCAATGAATATGTGGCTTCATTCCCAATGCATGGCTTTTCAACTATAATTAACATGGTTTCTTTCATTTCTTTTACTTTAGTTAAGGCATTGAAATAATGATCTATATTTTCCACACTGCTGAGGGGAAATCAGGTTAGAGTAAAAAGGTTTAAATATGAGAATTATTTAATTTTGTACTAGTTTTTATTTTTTAAATTTCTTCCTCTGCCAGGTTTGAGGATTTGTTTACTATTCTAGAAAAGAGGCAGAAAGAGCTAGGCATTGCTAGCTTTGGTGCATCTATTACTACCATGGAAGAAGTCTTCCTTAGGTGAGTAACAATGTATATGGAACCAAAAAACCTCGGGGAAAGAGCCACATCTTAACTTACCTTTGTAAACTTGCCACACTTCAAATGTCACACATTAGACTTTCAAGGTGGTGGAGGTGGGTGGGGCGATGAGTAAACCAAGGAACCTTTGGTGTTGAGGATTGTGACTCACATTCTCCAAATAAAATATATTGTGATAAGGTTTAAAGAAATGCCAAATACTTTTTTTTTTTTTTTTTAATGTAGGGTCAGTCATATGGAAGATTTGGAAACAGATAATCAAGCCATGCAGCCTTCTTCCCAAAGCAGCAGAATCTCTACCACGAGCCAGAGTATGAATGTGACAAGAAATGTTGAAGAAGTTGCTCCTTCCCTGAATGAAGACCCTACTATTAAGAATAACACTGGAGTAAGCACCTTTACTAAGAAACCTGGTGTATATTTGGTTGGGGTGCAAGAGGTACATTTTGTTTTCATACTTGAACAGAGTGTGGAGTTTCCAGCCACTGTAGATCCAACCAGATGTGGATCAATCTGTACCACAGTTTAATTAATTTTATAATTCAAAAGTGATGAGTTCTAGATAAAGATGCCAGCTGTTTATTTTCACCATTGCTAATCCTCAGTTATATATTTTTTTTCCTGCTTTAGAATTTTTTTTTCCCAAATTGGTAACCCAATAATTCATTGGTTTGTTGAAGCAGGAGTAGGGATACTAGTGAGTCTGGTTTTTAAAAACCAAGCATGCACAGTATTTTATTTAAGTTTTTGCATGGGAATTGTTACTGCCTAAGGAATCATTATCTAATAAATATGCTCCTCAGCATACAAAGGCTCCTTAAATTACCAAGCTTTCCTTTTCTTTTCTATTTTATTTCTTTCCCCTTTCCTCCCTTTCTCCCTCAATTTCTTCCTTCTTTTGCTAGAGAGTGAATGTGTATATATGCAAGAGACAGAAAAAGAAAAACACCCTCAACACACCGTCATACTGTGTTCCTCTTTCCCCAGCCCTTCAGCTCCTCAGAATCTTGGGGACCCCATCCAGGCACCCAGTGTGTTTTCAGGCCAAACTCAGGGATCCAAACCTATTGGGCCATTTGATTTCCAGCTTTATAGGGTCCTTGTGTTATTATTGTACTATAGTACCTGGGTGTCTTTCATTTTCCTTTCCATTATATATTCTTTTTATAAAATACACTGATTTTCTTAGCTATCAGGAGTCTGAAAGATCATCATCCTAAGGAGGGTTTGAGTATATTATTATCAAAAGCTATGAACATAAACATTTTACTTAGTTATCTTATACCACAGATCAATACACATCATGCAATGTAAAGATAGCATACATTAGAGGCTTTGTGTGCCATATAATCTCTGTCACAATTACTCAACTTTATCATTGCAGCACAAAAGCAACCCTGACAATACAGAAATGAATGGACATAGCTGGGTTCCACTAAAACTTTGCTTTCAAGAGAGGCCATACTGAGGGACCAGCAGTTAGCATAATGGCTATGTCATTGGACTCCCACATGGTCGACTGCGGTTTGAGTCCCGGACCCGGTGGTTTAAACTCACGCCAGACGCGTGTGCATGCGTGCCCAAGATCCCGAGAGGAGAATGGAGGAGAAGGGATTGTGGCATGGCCATCCCCCCTGGGGGGTGATTTCCTGCTTTCTGTCTCTCTGTCTCTCTCTGTCTGTCTGGTGAGCAAACGCGCCCTATAGCAAAAACCTCTCCAAAAAAAAAAAAAAAAGAGGCCATGCTTTGTTGATGTCTGCCTTATTCAGACTGCTCATACTACTATGTACTATCATACTATACTTAGGTTCTATTCCAAGTATTTAAGTGTTTATACCATACAATTTCAAAGTGTTGTCTTAATGAATTTAGGATAAATGACCTACTTAGGTCTCTGACTCTTGTAATCTTATGTTTCTCTCTTCTTTCTTTAGTGTTTCCTCTACAACCAACAGTTCTGCGCTATGTTCAAGAAGAGGGTGATCTTCAGTTGGCGTAACTGGAATCTGGTTCTGCTACAGATATTGGGACTTTTAGGTTGCCTGGTCTTTCTCTTACAGACTGGTTATTCATCACAGAATGATGAGCAGGTCAGGCAAATGGATTTGCATCAGTATGGTCAAACCATTGTGCCTTTTTCTATTTCTGGGGATCCTCATTCCACTGCAGATCTCTTAAATCACCTTGAGAGAAGGCTAAAGTTGGAAAACCAAAAACTTAAGAAAGTGGAAGGTAAGGCTCAGTAAGAAAATTTAAAATAAATAAATAGCTAAAACAAGACTGCTTTTAGATAATCTGTGTCACTTCCAAAGAAAGGTCTCAACTGCAATACTTGACTATCTGCTCCATTCTTTTGCCTTAGAGGCAAGTTGACTGAATGTCAAGAAATGGCTTCTTCAGGGCTACTAATTTCAGAAAGTTAGTTGTTACTGGGAACATTTTGTAGATTGTCTAGGAGGCATTTGTTCCTTTCAAATAAAAAAGTCCCAAAGTGCCAAAATACATGTTACTCTGGAGTTAGGCATGGATTTTTTAATTAAGACATTCTGGCTAGACTGCAGGGTATCACAGTGTATCACAATTCAGTCCTCACAGCCTGGAATTATGATTCTAAATCCTGAAATCTATTCTTCAATTTTCTAGAACGCGTTTATTTTTACGATTGTAGTAATAGCTTACATTTACTGAACATTCGCTTTTGGTAAAAATTCTGTTACATGCTTCACCCGCCTGTCATTTAATCTGAGTAATCACCTCTCTGGTAGATATTTTTATTACCCTCAGTTAAATGAGGAACATTGGCATTTGAAGAAGTTGGGTAATTCACCCCAAGTCAGACAACTAGTAAGTACAGAGACTTGAACCCACTATGACCTGCTTTGCATTTCCAGACTAACCATATACTGAACAGCATTACCCTCTCTGAGTATAAAGTTCATTCTCTTTCAAGTGTAATCATTTCTTCCAAGATACTCTATTTTTCTTTTTCTTTTTTTTCTTAATTATGTCCTGTTCCTTTAGGCTAGCAAAGAGCCTACAGGATTAGAACACCTATTCTCTTTGTCTCCATCTCTGTCTTTTTCTCCTTCAGGTTCTATTGTAAGAGAGGTTTCTGTTGGAAATGATGATTAAAATTAATTCAAAATGGATTATAAACTTAAATATAAAATGTAAAGCCACTATGCTGAGTCAGAGTAGTGAGACTACTGAACTTGTTTGCAGTTTTGGTATGAAAGCATCCAGTCTCAGGACCAGCAGATGGCATAATGGCTACATTGGCGGATTTCCTCATGGCTGACCACGGTTCGAGTCCCGGACCCAAGGGCTTAAAACACACTGAGCACGTGTGTGTGAGCGCCTGAAATCCCAAGCGGTGAATGGAGAAGAGATTGCAGTGTGGTCATCCCTCTCAGGGATGGTTTCTCACTTTCTGTCTCTCTGTGTCTGTCTCTCTGGTGAATGCACACACCCTATATCAAAAATTTCTAAAAAAAAGAAGAAGGCATCCGTGAAGAATGGAGAAGAGATTGCAGTGTGGTCATCCCTCTCAGGGATGGTTTCTCACTTTCTGTCTCTCTGTGTCTGTCTCTCTGGTGAATGCACACACCCTATATCAAAAATTTCTAAAAAAAAGAAGAAGGCATCCAGTGTAATGTTAGCTGTAAGGACATTTGTGGATGTTCTACATGAAGTTAAGAAGTTCACTCTATTCCTATTTTTTTCAGTGTTTTTTAATCATGAATGGATGTTGAATTTTCCAGAACTTTTTTCTGCATGGAATGGCACAATTATATGATTTTCCATTTTTTAATGAAAGAATTATTTATTTAATTTTATGTATTATTTTAAAATTTGACCAGAGAGAGAGGGAAAGTGAGAAGGCAAGCCACCAATTCCAGAACTCAGACTATGGTCAGCCATGTGGGAGTACAGTGTCTTAACCACCATGCCACCTGCTGGCTCCATGATTTTTCTTTAATAACCTATTAATATGTTCTTTGTTCGCCTTTAGAAGCCTATTTAATAGGAAGATGACATTGATTGATTTTTCAAGTCTTGTATCATCCCTAGAATAGATCCCAGTTGGTCAAAGTGCATAATGTTCTTTATTACCACTGAATTCTGTTTGCAAGTATGTTTGTGGATACACCGATCAATATTTGTTTCTCCATTCTAGGTGACTTACTGAAATACTTGAAGGAAAATAAAGAATGTATTTTTTTATGTATTATTGCACTTTCTGTTGAAGTGAAGCCGGATCAAATAATATTGACTATTCTGTTCAACAATGAGGCATACCATTCACCATCTGTGTCCCTGGCACTGTTAGACAACATCCTCTTCATGTCACTTTCTGGTGATGACGCTTCCTTAACAATCTACAATAAACCTTTCCCACCCCCTACGGATGGTAAAAAGAATGAAAGGTATGTTGTTCTTTTCAATAGAGTGGAGTTTTACACTTAATGTACATTCTTCCCACTCTATCAGAGTTCATTTACATAGTAAAAATAGCTATTGATAGAAATCTATTTCAGCTATATTGATGTTCTTATACAGTTCTTTTGTTTGTTTTTCTGTAGGATTGTGCTTGGACATCAGTTGGCCTTAAATTTACAATTTGGCATAGCTCTTTTGATCAGTGGCTTTTGTCTTCTGACTGTGACAGAAAGAACCACTAAAGCAAAGCACATCCAGTTTTTGAGTGGGGTCTCCATCTTTGTGTTCTGGTTTTCTGCTTTATTGTGGGATTTCATCATCTTTTTCATTGCCTGTTGCTTAATACTGGTAAGTGCTAGACATCAACTTTCTTGTGGGTTCATTTCCTTCTATGTCTCATGAAAAATTCCTGTCCTCATGGTTTCATAAACCTGACCATATCTTTATTCATTATTTTACAAAATACACTGCAGAAGTGTCATGGTAGAAGCTCTCATACCTTTTGTGAGAAGGAAATAACTTGTCTTTGCAACAGCTTGAAAACTTTTCATGGACTAATTTCTCTTTCTTTTTTTAAATCAATTTATGCAAATTATTCTTGAGATGAATTTCTCTTTCTTTTTTTAAATCAATTTATGCTGGCCACAAAAACTATTCTTGAGATGGAAAAGCTCTTACCTACCTGGGTTTACACTTTCCATTTTTGTCTAGTTTTTTTTTTTTTTCTCTGAATTAGTCTTTTAGACTATATTACTGCTGACTCTTCTCGTTTCCTTTTGAGTCGCTAACTACTTATTTTAATTTTTTTTTTTTTTTGGAGAGGCTTTTTGCTATAGAGCGCTCACCAGACAGAGAGAGACAGAGAGATAGAAAGCAAGAAATCACCTCCCAGAGGGGATGGCCATGCCGCAATCCCTTCTCCTCCATTCTCCTCTTGGGATCTTGGGCACGCACGCACACGTGCCCAGCCTGAGTTTAAGCCACCGGGTCTGGGACTCGAACTGTGGTCAACTACGTGGGAGTCCAGCGGCATAGCCATTACGCTAACTGCTGGTTCCCCTGAAGTTCTTAATCAATGGATTTTAATCACTATTTTAAAATTAATGTCCAGTAATTCACACTCCTAAATTTTATGGATTGTGCATTGGAGAACAAATCAAAGACTGGAGATCTAAATGAAGTTAATTCTTCTTTATCCTGAATTCACACCCATTCAATTTCTATCAATGAGGAATTAAAGCAAAGAATAAAACAAATATAAATTCACATCACCCCTTACCTAGTGAAATGCGTCCCAATCTGTGTTCTAGAAAACCATCCAACCAAGTTAACAATTTCTTTCTTTTGGTGTGTGTGTGTGTGCGTGTGTAGTGTGTCTCTCTGTGTATATATGTAATTTTGCTGTAGGGTGTGTGTGCTCACAAAGAGACAAGGAGGAAGGGAGGTTTTTTTTTAGAGAAAAAGTTAGAAAGCATTCCCCAGGAGGAGTTGGCCATAATGCAGTCCCTTCTCCTCCATTCTGCTCTCAAAGTATTGGGCACACACATAGTCCCAGCATATTGCTTATGCCATGGGATCAGGACTCAATCCATGGTCAGCCATGTGGGATCCAGTTGCCTTAACCACCATGCCATCAGCTGGCCCCTAATGTTTTCTATTATGATTGCTACCACCACCAAGAATATCAGTCACTAATTGTATAATGACTGTACTTAGTTTAATATTACTACTTGGTTTACTACTTGGTGGCCCTGCTACATAACTATTGTAACTGCCATTGATAAAAGAAAAGTGCAAGTAGAATAATAACATATAATAACTAATGAGATACGAGTTCTTAGAAATGTATTTCCTTTAACAGCTATTGGTTTCTCTTCACCACCACCATCTATTCTAACTTAAGTCCCTCTATTTTGGTGCTTCATTGTTTGCTTTTCCATTTGAACTGGAAAAATTTAAGGAGGCCTCAGAGTGGCTTAGGTAGATATGAGGAGAGTGAGGGAGTAGAACAGAACAAGGAACTCAATTTAAAGGGGGGTGGCTGTGAATAGCAGTGATAGGTAAAGCAAAATACCTTTTTTTTTTTAAAGAGAGATTTTTATTATTGGGGCACATGTGCTCTCCAGAGAGATAGAAAGTGAGAAATCACCCCCAGGGTGAATGGCCATGCCACAATCCCTTCTCCTCCATTCTCCTCGGGATTTGGGGCATTCATGCACATGCGCCAAGCGTGAACTTCATTCTCATGTTTGGCCACATGAGAATCCAGTGGCATAACCATTCTGCCATCTGCTAGTCCCCAAAGTAAAATACTTTTTTTTTTTTTTTAAACTAGCTATAGTCATCAGCTGGGAGGAGGGGGCGCTAAGTGAGCAAGCAAGCCATCAGGTCAGGGGCTCCAACTGTAGTTAACCACATGGGACTCCAGCAACCCAACTACCACACCACCTGCTGGCCGCAACCTAAGACTTTTTTTTTTTCCTTTTATTTTTTTTTGGAGCAGTTTTTGCTATGGGGTGCATGTGCTTACCAGAGAGAGACAGAGAGATAGAAAGCGAGAAATCACCCCCCAGGGGGGATGGCCACGCCACAATGGCCACGCCACAATCCCTTATCTCCTCCATTCTCCTCTCAGGATCTTGGGCATGCACGCACACGTACCCAGCGTGAGTTTAAGTCACTGGGTCCGGGACTTGAACCACAGTAGACTACATGGGAGTCCAGTGACATAGCCACTATGCTAACTGCTGGTCCCCAAAGCAAAATACTTTTAAGGGGAAAAATATTTGGAGAAGTAGTGTCTCTTTAGAGAAATAATATACTTTCTTGAAAACTTGACAGGTGGTCAGCAAGTGGCATAGTGTTTAAGGCATTGGACTCCCTCCCATCTGGCCAACCATGGTTCAAGTCCTGGACCTGGCAGCTTGAAAATCAAGCTGGGACATGTGTGTGCATGCCCAATATCCTGAAAGGAGAATGGAGAAGAAGGGATGGTGGTGTGGCCCTCCTCCCTGGAGGGGGAAGTTATTTCTTATTTTCTCACTCTCTGTCTCTCTGGTAAGCAAAGAAAAGAAAACTTGATAGGATTATTGGAGAAATATGTACTGCTTTATGAATTTAAAAAAAAAAAAACTATTCCAAATAAAAAACAAAATAATGAGAGGATGAATAGTAGTTCTGCTCACTGGAATGTCCTCTTGTGAAAAAGTAGGAGTAACTTACTCCATGTTTCTAGGCTAAGGCTTTTTTTTTTTCTTCCTTTGGCAATATAGTACATATACTTACCACAGAAAGACAAAGAGAGAGAGAGAGAGAGGAAGTGAAGAAGCACCCCCAGGGGAATGACCATGCCACAATCTCTTCTTCTCCACTCTCCTTTTGGGATTTTGGGCACACATGCACTCAGCATAATTTTCAAGCCAGTGGGTTCAGGATCTACCCACCTAACCACCATCCCATGTGGTTGGCCCTGGTTAAAGCTTTTTAAAGAGGCAGATTGACGTAGTGACTATTTCTGCTAAAAAAATAAAAATAAAAATTGCCCTTTTCCTCTGTAAATGTTCTGTTTTGGTTTCTTTTTGTACTTGCCCTTCACCTTGCTTTATCTCTGTTCCCTCTGTTTCAGGTAGTGTTAAAGTGCTATAAATTTGATATTTACATCATGGATTACCACATTCTGGAAACAATGTCAATCCTCACACTGTATGGTTGGTGTGCCATTCCCTTCGCGTACCTGATGAGCTTCCTGTTTTCTACAAGTACTTCAGCCTACATCAAAATTCTCCTATTCAACTACATGACAGGCTCTTTTGGCTTAATCTTAGACAACACTTTACAAAATAGTAAGTGTGAAGGCTTCACACAGTTTCCCCTTTCTCAGAAGGTACATAAATAAGGAGCAATTGATTGCAGATATCTAAGAATATTAGTAGACAATTAAAAATCAGGAGTAATAAAATGATGCATGAAATAGTTTTTTGATTACTGTCCTAGTATTTTTGGTTGATGCAGTAACTTAGGAAAATAAATAGTATGTTAATTACTATAATACATATTACTATTTGGTTTGAGAAGTAAAACAGAATTAAGTAAAAACTGTTAAAATAAATGAACTAGGACAGAAAGGTAGCAAATTTTAAAATAAATATGAAACAAGAAAATAAGTTTCCTACATATGAGTTACAACCATGTGTAAAATAATATCATAGGGGAGAATCACTTCACAAAAATATGAAAAGCTATAAAGTTCCTCAAAAAATAAATTTTAAGGTCAATATATGATTTTTTTAAATATCAAGCTGATTTATTTAAAAAGCTTAATTGAACTCAAGGCTTGTTAACTTTCAACATTATCAAAATGCTTCCTACTGTGTAGCAAGTATGTGTTTTGTCTGTTTTCCTTATTAGCCAGTTTTTTAAATTATTATTATTATTATTATTTATACATTCAATGCTGCACATCATTTAGATTATAAAGAGACTTTACCCAGCATGATGTACACCTCAGTCCAGCCAGCTGAGAATACCTAGTTGGTAAATATTTTTGATAAACATTTTTGTCAGTTTTTGCCTTTTCACATCCCTAAGGAAGTCTTTATTTTTCAGAGAGATTGTGCTATGGATTAGATAGTGTTGTCCCCAGAGATTTATGTTTTGGAATCTGGTAATGGCTTTGGGAGGTGGTGAGACCTAGTATGTGGAGATTGGATCGTAAAGGCATTGCCCTCATGAATGATCTCATAAGACCAAATGAGTTCTCACATAAGGTTAGTTCCCAGAAGAGTAGGTTATTATTAAAGGAGGATGGCTCTCCTTTTCTCTCTCTCCCTCTCTGCACACTCCTGCCACCCTCTCTGTGCTTCTGTGGCCATGTTGTGACATAGCTGGCTTAAAGCCTTCTCCATGTCTTTGAACTTTCCAGTCACCAGAATCATAAGCTGAATAAACGTTTATTTTTATAAATTGCCCAGTCTCAGGTTATTTCTGTTTGCAATGTAATAGTGGACTAAAACATATTTTTGTTCTCTTTCATATCTAGAAAGATCTTTTCTCTAGAAGTGAGAAAATGTTTATGATTAGTATAGAAAATGTTTATGAGTAAATGTTTTGGAGAGGCCAAAACTATTAGGCTATCCTTGTACTAATATGGTAGCCACTAACCAGATGTAGCTATTTAAGCCTGAAATAAGATTACTTGAAATTAAACACAATTTAAAATTCGATCTAACAGCCTTTTTTTTTTTTAGCGTTTATTAACATGCTAAAGTGTTAAAGTTATCCAGGATTCTTTATTCTCTGTCAGTTATTTGCTTCCATATCAAGTTAAAGTCTATTCAGGACAGACAGCCTAGCCCTTGGCCTTAAGGTTTCACTTTTTAATTGTCTCCTATCGCTCAAAATTTTATGAGAACTTTTTATTTAGATTCATCTTTTGTCCTCTTTCTAAATACATGAATTTACTGTCAAAATTCTACAATGGAAATTCATAAGTTAAACCTATTCATATCTCCATGAATTTAGTCTCTATTCCTTATTCATATTCAGTCTGGTATTTAGACAGACATTAATTTATCAGCTTGTATCTTGGAAGTGTGTGTGTGTGTGTGTGTGTGTGTGTGTGTTTGTGTGTTTTTTGTTTAGTTTAGAAAGAGAGAGAGGGAAGGCACAGAGTCTCACTATGCTATGATCCCCTCTCCCTTCCAGACATCTAGAATTATATATATACACATTCAGGTTAGCCCAGCACATTTAGGTCATCCTAGGATCTGAACCCAAGGTCTTCCCCAAAGGCTACAGGATCATGCAGTGGTATCCTACTACCTGTGCTGCTGTATCTGCAGATTTTTTGCCCTCAAATAGTTCAAAATTTTCCCTATCTGGGCCTTACTACTGATTTCTAACCTCTGACTTCTACTTCTACTTTTCCCTCTTAGTTGATCAATTAGAATTAGAAATGTGAAAAATAGCCAATATCAAACTTACTGAGAAGTGATTAGTGTTCTATAAAGAGAATGACCTGGTTTGTAATTCCCTGAGCTTGGTTTGATCGTGACTGGGGAATTTGTTGTCCTGGGATAGCTCATTCCCTATAATGAAACCTAATCTTATTCTTTCAGAAAAGCAGACTAGCCTGTCAAATGCCACCAGAACCTTTCTACGGAATTCATTGCTGGTCTTTCCCAATTACAACCTTGCTAAGTGCATCAGCAGCTACACTAACATCTACCACATGAAAATACTGTGCTCCTACTTACAGACACCTGTCTTCTTAAATTGTAGTAAAGAAAGTAAGTATCTTGAGGTCCTTCAGCCCCTGGTAAATTAGCCTAAGGCTTAGGTTATGAAACATGTGGGGAAACTAACCTTTCAAAGGAGAGTCAGGAGACCTGTTTGAAATATAAATCATTTTTGCAAGACTGGGAAAAACCTCTTCAAGGATTCTAAAGCCTGAAAAACAAATTCAAGGTAAGTTTTAAAGTAGTCATTGGATATAGAATAAGAACTGCTAATAATCAACTACTAGCTTTACATGATTTTAAATCTTCACAACAACCTCAAATTACCTGTTTTTATACTGATGTGGAGGAAACAGACTATGCACTCTATGTCACACAGCTTTTATGGGTCAGAACTAGAATTCAAAGCTTGTGTTCTTCCATTTCATAATGCATTTCTTTTTATATTTTTCTTTTTTCTTCTTCTTTTTCTTTTCTTTTCTTTTTTTTTTTTTGGAGAGATTTTTGCTATAGGGCACGTGCGCTCGTCAGACAGAGAGAAACATAAAGACAGAAAGCGAGAAATCATCCCCCCAGGGGGGATGGTCACGCCACAATCCCTTCTCCTCCATTCTCCTCTCGGGATCTTGGGCATGCACGCACACGTGCCTGGCGTGAGTTTTAAGCCACCGGGTCCGGGATGCGAACCGCAGTCGACTACGTGGGAGTCCAGCGACATAGCCATTATGCTAACTGCTGGTTCCCATAATGCATTTCTATATAAAAAAGATCCCCCAGGGGAATGGCTTGAATTGTAATTGTATTAAACTTATTTTTGTTACACCACTACCACCACACAGGGTCACACACACCTGCCCACAACTTACTCAGTGAAATAGATGAAATCTCTCTCTAAAGCATAATGTAGTATCTGGCACTCAACTGTTGCCTCCCCCTCCCATGTTATTTGTTTTATTTACACGTCATCACTGTATATCTTTGTAGCATACAAAAGAAATCTTCCCAGAATGAATACACTGCATATTAGTCCAGTCAAAGATATTATCACACATATTTTCTTAATACATAATTTTACATTTTTGTATCTGTTAAATGTTTTGTTTTCTTTTTTCCCCCTGAACCCCTCTGGCCCACCCGTCACTACCCATCCTCCTCCATCATTCCCTCTCCGTGACTCTTTTGTTTTTCTCTATGCTCTTTAAATAAATAGGTGAAGGTAGAAAGTAGTGATTTGGGTGATAGAGAGCAATATAATGGAGAAATGCCCAAAATGAAAGTAACAGAAAGATAACAGTACTGCAGATTTCTGGAAAAGGAAAGGGTAAACATTCATTTTTTTCCACCTTAGAAATCCCTAATGGTATCATTTATTACACTTTTGAACATATCTTATTGGTGGTGAGAAAGATGTGTAGGAAGGCAAGGAGTGCGTCCTAAGCCTGGTTCTTCTACAGCTTTAGTCCGTTACCTCAAAAAGCGCCTTAGTATTCAAATGGTGTAAGTTGAATAGACAGTAAACTCTAAAAGAATAATGGAGGAGGAAAAGTGGGAGAGGAACATGTCGCGTACAACCTAGTAGCGTAAAGAGTAATTATACTGTCTCCTAAGGAGCTGAGCATATTTTTTTTATTTATTATTTATTTTATTTTTATTTATTCATTCATTAATTTTTTTAATTTGACCAGAGAGAGATAGAGGGTGAGAATGAGAGAGAGAGGAAGTGAGAAAGCAAGCCACCAGGTCCAGGACTTGAACCCCGGTCGGTCATGTGGGAGTGTCCAGAGCCTTAACCACCATGCCACCTGGGGTTCCAATTTCTTCTTATCCTTCCTAAGTCATTATTTTCCTTTTAACTATAGACCTCCCAATAGGTCTTACATCTTATTATGTTTTTATTTTATGATTTCTTATTCACATTTAATTACTGTATATCTCCATAGCACACAATATGGTTTAGCACACAATGTATAGAATCAAATCAAGGTTATGCCACATACATCATTTTCAACAGAGAACTTTATATTGTTATGTCCGTTAAGGATTCTTCCCTTCCAACCCACCTGCTACCATCCACCCCACCCAAATACAGTCTCTGGTTTTTACATTTGTCCTTCCTACTCTATGTCTTTGGATCTTCCTGTTTCTGCAGACATTTGCTATATATTGAGCAGGGATAGACAGTGTTTGTCTTTCACAATCTGGTTTCCTTTTCTTAACGTCAAATCTTCTATATTCATCTTATTATGGTTTTGATTTACATTTCCCTAATGTCCAGTGATGTTGAACATCTTTCCGTGTGCCTATTGTTCACTCGTGAGTCATCTTGGTAGAAATATATATTCAAATTGCTTATTTTTCAATCGGAGTATTTGGATTTATACATTTTAAATACTAGACATTTCTCTGATATATGATTTGCAAGTATTTTGTCCTCTTCTGTGTGCATTTTTTCCTTTCTTGATAATGTCTTTCTATGCACAATAGTTTTTAATTTTGATGAAGTCCAGTTTTTCTGTTGTTGCTTTGGTTGCTTATGTGCTTTAGGTGTTATAGAAAATAAGACATTGCTTAATCTGAGGTCACAAGTACCTTTGCATTTCCTACTCTGATTTTATAGTTTTATCTGTTATACTTAGTGTTGGAGTCCGCCCCAGGGCTTGGGTCTAGCTGGATCATGATCAGAGGGCTGCTGGGTGAGGAAGAGAAAGAAGAGGAGAAAGAGAAAGCCCTCCATCTTGCCAGGACCGGGGAATTGGAAAGAATGAGACAAAGAAAGAGTAGAAATGGCCACAGGCAGCCTGAGCCCAGGTAAAGGAGACATTACACATGTATGTTTCATGATACTTCATAGATTGGTTGCCAGGTTACAGACAATAAGAAGCAGTTAACAAATTTATAAGGGCTTAGTCAAACTGGGCCAGGTATATCCCTTGGTGATAATCCCATCAAGAGAAAGTCTCATCTTCTTTTCTAATGCAGAGAACTAGCTATTAGGTGTGGGGAAGCAGCTAAAGAGCTTCTCCATAAGGAGTGCACCACCACACCCAGAGAAGGCTAAAGAACCTTTCAGATGCAGAGCTGGGATTGGACTTTACTAATTGGGGTCAAGATGTTTCTTGAAGTCCATCAGATGTGCCTGTTGGAATGCCCCTAGTAATTTCCACCCTTGCTCTGTCTGCAGCAAAGGTCAAGGAAAAGACAAGTTACAAGGTTCTGCCAAACCCCAGAAGGACATGTGGTGTTTGCTCGGAGCATGTCCCCACACCTCAGGTTCTTTCTCTAAACGTGTCCCACAACTTAGGTATTTGATCCATTTTTAGTTTTAATGGTCATATAGAGTGAGATAGGGTTCCAGATTCATTCTTTTGAATGCAGATATCCAGTTGTTTCAGTAACATTTATTAAAAAGATTATTTTCCCCCCTTGAATTGACTTGGTACCTTTGTGGAAATTAACTGAACATGGAAATATGGGTTTATTTCTGGAGTTTGCATTGATGTATATATTTCTATTGTTACACAATATCGTTCACATTACTTTTATATTTTAAAAAAGGTTCTATAGATTTAAGGAAATCCTGATAAAATCCTTGTGCCTTTTTTCTTGTGTAAAGAAAATCTAATTCTCAAAAGAATATGGCCTGACACAGTACCAGTATATAGTCAGGTTCTAACTTCAAAGCATATTACAAAGCTAGAAAGGTAGATAAATATCATCATGAAAACATCCGAAGGTATAAAACTCACCAGTAGAGCAATCACAAATAGAATGAAGAAAAATTTAAATGTTTCCACTGTGGAAAACTACAAACAGCAAAGATAATAACAGAAGAAAGGATAAAAGAAAACAGAACAGAACAACCAGGATACAACAAACAAAATGATAGCAATAAGCCTATACCTATTGTTATGGTTCTGATAATAGTTTGTCCCCCCAAAGTTTCATGTTTTAAAATTTGGTCTTAGTAAATGGTGGTTGAATTTCTCCCAAAAATTCATGTATTAGGGGCTTCATGGCACTGTAAAAGTGTTAAGTGAACATTTAATTCCTTCATAATGTCCCAGGGTATGGAGCCTTTGGGTATGATAAAGTCATTAGGGTAGATCCTCCATGATTGAGTTCTGGCAGGTATATAAGCAGAAGAAATCAGACCAGAATGGCAGAAAGAGAAGGTCTTAGACATTGCTCTGCTCTGTTTAAAGTTCCGGCTTTTTGATGATGCCATTGGATTTTCCATTCACCAGAACTGTGAATTATTAAAACTCAATTTCTTTATAAATTTAGAGAGTCTCAGATATTTCTACTAGCAATACAATAATAGACCTATGATGACCAAATGAATCTGACAGACCTTTATAGAACATTTCATCTTATGCCCACAGAACACACATACTTCTTGGCAATGCATGGAACATATTCTAGAATTGCTCATGTAATAGGGCACAGGAAAAGTTTCAATACATCTTTAAAAAATGGAAACAATATCAAGTATCTCTTCCAATGACAATATAATGAAAGAAGTCAACAAGAACTATGTGTGGGGGGCGGACAGTGATCCAAATACATGGACACTACACAACATGCTCCTCTGTGACTACAGTGTCAAACAGTAAATTTAAAAAGAAATTTCTTGAAACAAATTAAAATGGAAATATAACAAACTTATGGGATGTAGTAAAATCAGTGCTAAAAGAGAAGTTTATAGCAATAAATGCCCACATGAAAAAAAATAGAAAGGTGGCAAATACACAACCCAACAATACAACTCAAGGAACTAGAAAAGTAAGAACAATCTAAAACAGAAATTTGTAGAAGGAAAAAAATACAAAAGATAAGAGCATACATAAATTAATAGGAGACCAAAAGATCAATACAGAAGACCAAAGAAACAAAAGGTTGATTTTTGAAAGGATTAACAAAATGACAAATCATTAACTAGACTAACAAAAGAGAAAAGACACAAATAAAATCAGAAACAAAAGGAGCCATTACAATAGATATCACTAAATACAGATGTTTATTAGGGACTATGATAAGTAGCCAACAAACTAACCTAGAGGAGATAGATTAGTTCTTGGACACATACAACCTACCTACATTGAGCCAGGAAGAAATAGAAAGTTTGAACAACCCATAACAAGTAGACAGATTGGACCAATAATAAAGAGTTGTAAAACAAAAACTCAAGTCCAGAGTGCTTTGCTGCTGAATTTTATAAATATTTTGAAGAAGAACTAATACCAGTTCTCCTTCAACTGTTCCAAAATATAAAAATGAAAGAATTATTCCAGAATCATTTTACATGGCTATCATTACTCTGTCAATAAAAGCAGACAAGGACAAAACCCCACCAACAAAAACTGCAAACCAGCATCCCTGGTGAACATAGATGCAAAAGTTGTCAACAAAATACTGGCAAACCAAATTAAACTGCACTCTGAAAAGATTTTTCGCTGTGGTCAAGTCAGATTTATCCCAGTGATGCAAAGATGTTTCCACATTGACAGTCAATGGATGTGATACATCCTATCAACAGAAGGAAGTACAAAAACCATATAATCGTAAAGCTGTTGCAGAAAAATATTTTGATAAAGTACAGCATCCTTTCAGGATTAAGACACTCAACAAGACAGTACTGTAAGGCACATATTTTAACTCAAGAAGGCCGTATATAACAAAGCCACTGCTAATATTTAACTGTATGGGAAAAAGTTGAAAACTTTTCTTCTAAAAATGAGAACAAGGCAAGGAGGTCCACTCTGTCTACTCCTATTCAATATGGTACTGAAAGTCCTAGCCAGTGCAGTTAGACAAGAGAAATAAATTAAAGCTGTTTAAATTGAAATCTGGTCTGATTTCTTCTGCTCATATACCTACCAGTAGTTAAGCTGCCTCTGTTTGCAGATGACATGATCCCATACATAAACAAAATCTAAAGAATATACCTAAAAAATATCTTTTTGAACTAACATACTAATTTAGTAAAGTTTCAGGATACAAAATCAGCATGCAAAAATCAATACACAAATAATAAACTTACTGAGAAAGAAAGTAACCTTATTTGCAATAAACACACATGATCTAAGCATAAATTAAACCAAGGAGGCAAAAGAGTAAAATGAAAATTATGAAACACTGATTTTTAAAAAATGGAAAAAGATACAAAAAAATAGGTGGCATGGTAGTCAAGGCAGGGAACTCCCACATGGTGTACCATTGTATGAGTCCTGGACCTGGTGACTTGAAAATCATACCAGGTGCATGTGGGTGCTTGCCAAAAAGCCCAGCAGGAGAATGGAGGAGAAGGGATTGTGATGTTGCCATCCCTCTGGGGGGGGGGGATGTAATTTCTCACATTGCCTCCCTCTGTCTCTCTCTGGCAAGTGCACACACCCTATGCAAAAACAAACACAGGCCACACCTCCCAAAATAGACAAATGAAATAATATCCAACTAAAAAGTGTGTGCCTAGCAAAGGAAACAATAGAGAGACAACCTCCAGAATGGGAGAGATTGTTTGCAGTCAACATCTAACAGGATTAGTAATCATATTATATAAGGAACTCAAACAAAGTGAAGAAATGAATAATCCATTGAAAAAACAATCAATCTGAACAATTTTTGAAGGGAGACATACAAATGCCCAAAAAGCATAGAAAAAAAAAATGTTCAACATCACTAATAATAAAAGAAACACACATTTGCCCTCTGGTAATAAAACAAAAATTCATTGTTTAAATGATTATCACTTCTCACACTCAGGTTACTTTGTCTAAAGCTTAATATTTCAAATATTTCATTTTGCGTTCCTTATTTTTTTCTTAGTCTTTCATGGTGTCAATGTAATGAATTAATATTAGCACTCTGTCTTATTCTCTATCATTCTCAGATACTGAAAAGAATATTTATTCTTTGGAGGAGAGTATGATTGGAAAGTATTTGATTGCTATGAGTATCATAGGTTTTCTTTCCCTTCTCTTGATTTTCTTCTGTGAGACTACTTTGTGGAGAGTAAAAACATTTCTCAATCAACGTGTTTTCTTTGGCATCTATAAGCGATGCAGAAAGGTGAGCACTTGAACATGGAATAATTTAAGAACTCTAAGAGAACTGAACATTATGTCTGAAAAGCATATCTAAATCTGCCTGCCTAGATGAAAGGACTAGATACTAGATAAAAGAACCAGTTACTAGATAAAAGAAAAATGATTTTATAAAAATGTATTTTCTCAAATAAGCTTCATTGAGGTACAGTTACTTACAATAAATTACATTCATGTCAATGATCATTTCAAAGGACCAAATTCATCTTTTAAATTTTTCTCTACTGTTAACCACTTTTTCTTTCTCTCATTCTTTCCTATTTTTCTTTCTAATTTCTTAGCCTCTTCTTTAGTTTCTTAATGGAAATCCTTAAGCCATGACCTAAAATTTGGTTTCTTTGCTTATTGTTATTTACTTTAAAATTGACAAATAAAAATTATCTACATTTATAATACACAAAATGATGTACTGATGTGTGTATACATTGCGAAATGACCAAATCAAGCTTATTAATAAATATTTCCATACCTTACGTAGTTTGTGTATGTTGAGAACATTTAAAACCTACTCATAGGAATTTTCTTTCCTTCTTTAATTTTATTTTTCATTGACAAATAATAGTTGTACGTATTTACAGGCTACAATATAATGTTATTACACATGTTGACATTAATGAAATCATTCACTAAGTTGCTTTCATATCTTAGTGTTGCAGCAAACATGAGAGTGCAGATTTCTCTTCAGCATACTGATTTCAGTTCCTTTGAATATAACCCAGAAGTGCAATTTCTGAGACATATGGTAGTTTTAATCATTTTTATGACCCTCCATACTGTTTTCCATAGGTCTGCATCAATTTAACATTCACACCAATAGCATGCAAAGATTTTCCTTCACAGTATTCCTCCCCAAGGTTTGTTGTATTTTGTCTTTTTGGTAAGAGCCATTCTAACAGGTGTGAGGTAACATCTTACTCTGGTTTTCACTTGCATTTCCCTGAAGATTAGAAGATTTTGAGTATCTTTATATCCCTGCACATTAGAAGAAGTACAGACTTATTCCAGTCTTTGCAGACTAACTGCCTGAGAAAGCCCTTCACCATCAGCCTGTTCAAAAATTCTGAGTGGTCTCTCTTACATGGTCTGAGAATGAACTTGTAGCTGGGGTCTTTGGACAGGCCAGCTTAGTGGCTAGGTAGCAAGTGGGTGGGTGTGGTACCTGGATTCTTTGAGTTGAGCCAATACCTGGATCCAACAGGGTGGGTGGAACTCTTTTTTTTTTAAATAGACCACAGATTATTTTTAACACCCATCATGCCATGAATTCATAGGGAATAGGTTCCAGTAGCTCAGGCTCCTTCCCATTGGTTCTCACAAAGTGTGCTTCTCTGGGTGGAGCAGGCTGGCACTTTTGTTGAACCCAGGTACCTTTCTCTTTGACTTCTTTCTCTTTCTGGTCATTTTCCTTTGCATGTTTTAGGAAGCTATCTCTGCTCTTAGAATGCTTAATATGCTCAATACGCACATTGATTCTCTTGGCAAGAATCTTGCCCTTAACTTGTTTGTTCACAACAATGCCAACAGCATGCTGGGTAACATTGTAGACTCTTCCAGTTTTGCCATGGTAACATTTGTGGGGCATTCCTTCTTGAACAGTACCCATTCCCTTAATGTCTACAATATCACCTTTCTTGTAGATTCCCATATATGTCGCCAAAGGAAACAACTCCGTGTTTTCTAAAAGGCCTAGAGAACAAGTATCGGGTGCCTCTCCTCGTTCCCTTTGTGTTCATCATTTTGTTTAATTACTGGAAGATGGCGGTTCTGGCCAAAAGGCGGGGTGGATGAAACTCTTAATTAGGTCTTCTAGGATAAGCCTGGACCCTGCTTCTGTTGGAATGTGACATTACAGGGCCATCCTGGAGGGTGGGGCAACCTGGTGCTGAGTCATCATGGAGTCTGGGTCTGGAGAGGCTGCTCTGAAGCCTAGGATTGCAGCTCCTGCCTGGTGGAGTCAGTAGAGCTGACTTGAAATTGGGTTGAGTATCACACTGGAGCTATGTCATTGGTACTGTCCTTGTGGCTATATGTATAGGTGATAGTCTGGAGACTATATCCATAGGGTTGGTCTTGGAGCCTTAGTCTGTGGGAGCTGATTTGATACTTGGGAAACCTCTGTCTGTGAATGTTGGACTGGAAGGTAGGTCTGTGGGTCCTGGCCTGAGGACCAGAGCAGTGAGAACCAGCCTGGTGCTGGGGGCAGTCTGAAATCTGAGGTCACTGGGGTTGGCCTATGTTTATCCCAGAGAAGTAGTCCATCAGTCAGGTCTAAAGTCTGGGGCTTTAGAATCCAGTCTGAACCTAGGGACAGCCTGGTATTCCTGCCTGGCACTGGATTTTACCAAGTTGTATTCAGTTGGACTTCAAGGCAAAGTCTGGTACTTACTCCTCTCTTTCCTTTGACCTGAAACAACTGAACAAAACTGTCTTGAAAATAATGCCAAATTTTTGTACTAGCACCTTGACATCAAATGGTTCTGAAGCTACTTGCTCTAGCAAGATGACAAAACAGTGTTCATATTTGTAACATTTACCTTGAAAACAGGCTTGTAGGGCCTAGCGGGTTTCTTAGGAAAAGTCCAGTTAAGCCTTGATTTTCTTAGCTCCAATTTTCTTTTAACCTTGGAAAAAGTTATTAATTGTTATAAGCTCATTACTGTATTTTTTTCCCCCAAGGTTTTTGCCACTGAGTGTGTGGGCTCACCAGAGAGAAAGAGAGAGAGACAGTGAGAGGGAAAGTGAGAAATCACCACCCAGGGTGAATGGCCACACCGTAATTCCTCCATTCTCCTCCTGGGATTCTAGGCATATTTGCATGCACACCCAATGTGGGTTTCAAGCTACCAGGTCCAAGACTTGAACCATGGTCAGCCATGTATGAGTCCAGTGCTTTAATCACCACACCACCTGCTGTCCCCTCATTACTGTATTTTTTAAAGCTTTCCTGGACTGTCTTAAGGATTCGGGTGATAAAATAACTTCTCTGAATGCTTCAGATTCTTTCAAAGGTGTAGTACACGTTGTAATATTTTAATTCACACTTTTTCTACTACATGAGTATTTTTCCCTTTCCTCTGATCCCCATCCTTATTTTACTGCTAAACTATTACTCAAAACTCAAGGTGTATGTAACAGCTGAGATGATACTCAGGGCATCTCTTTGAAATGACACAAACCTCTGTTCTACCATCTTTAATACTGTCTTCCAGTTTAGCTTTCACAAAATAAACTCTATCTAGAGCAGATATTAAAGAATATATGCCTTGGGCTAGCAGATGGTGTGGTGGTGAAAGTACTAGATTCTCACAGGGACAACCATGGTTTGAGTACTGGACCCAGCACGTTGAAAATCATGACAGGCATATGTATACGTGTATGTGTGTGCCCAAAATCCTGAGAAGAGAATACAAGAGAAGGGACTGAAACTTAGTCAACTCCCCAGTGGGTGGTTTCTCATTTTCCCTCTGTCCATCTCTCTTTGTCTCTTCCAGTGAGTGCATGTGCCCTATGGCAAAAAATATAAAATAATAATTATAATTTGTAATTTGTGTGTATAATAATTATAATTTTTATATATATGCACACACATATATAAACATACGCATGTATACACACATACATTTGCCTCTATAATTCTTATCTTGAAAATACAGAATGTATTATCTAAGGAATTATCTGGGCAATCTGAAGATGAAGATGTACAAAATGAAAGACAAAGAATCCTGGGACAACCTCAGGAGTTACTGAATTCCACAGTGCTTATTAAGGAACTCACAAAGGTAAAGTCATTAAATAACCAACATCTCCTGGCTTCATTTCTACTTCTAAGCATGTCACTGGTGCCAGGGGGATCGCTATGGTTCTTTGGGTTCTATGTGTATTTTCCCAGTGGAATAGAAGAGTTCTTGTGAAATGGTCTGTGGTACTGCTCCATAAGCATCTAAGGTATTTATTGCACATGACCTATAATCATTCTTTACTGAGTTGTGTTTTCTGGATTATTTAGATATATTTTCAATGTCCAGCAATTCTGGCTGTGAAAAATATCTCCCTTGCAATACAAAAGGGGGAGTGCTTTGGATTACTTGGATTCAATGGAGCTGGAAAAACAAGTACCTTTCAAATTTTGACTGGAGAGGAGAGTGCTACCTCTGGGGAAGTGATTATTGATGGCTACAGCATCACCAAACACATCCAAAAGGTAAGATGCTGCTTTGTGTAATAGGTGAGACGCATAATGACTCAGAGGCACAAGTAACAGGCATATGGCTAGGATAATAGACAGCAATCATCATAGATACTGATACTGGTGTTGATGCAGGCAGTGGATTCCGGAAAGAGAAAAGGTACGTTTTGAAAAAGAGGCAATAACAGTGGAATCTAAAACACAAGTATCTTTTGTGTTCTTTGAAACTGTTGGAGTAAAAGACAAGTTCTGTCAACATGATGGTCATGCCATAATCCCTCCTCCTCCAATCTCTTCTCAGGATTTTGGGCATGCACACACATGCACACACACCTGGCATGAGTTTCAAACTGCCAGATCCAGGACTCAAACCACAGTCCGACTACATGGAAGTCTAGTGACTTAACCACTACACCACCTGATGACCCCTACCACACTTGATTATTATTGCCAGAGGGCACATCTGCTTGCCACAGAGAGAGAAAAAAAGAAAGAAAACACCCCACAATGAGGCATGGCCATGCTGAAATCCTTTCTCCTCCATTTATCCATTTCCTCAGGGTTTGGAGCGCACACACACACACAGATGCACCTGGCATGATTTTCAAGCTGTCAGTGCTAGGATTTGAACATCAGTTAACCATGTGAGAGGAAGCTTTTTGGATGCTTATATTCATCAAGCTAGGAAAGTTTTTGACCATCACTTCTTGAAATATTTTCTCTGTCCCTTTTTCTCTTCCTCCTCCTGAACAACTATAGTGCATGTATTGGTCTACTTGATGGTGCCTCACAGGTAAATTAGTCTCTGTCTACTTTTCTTCAGTATTTTTCTGTTCATCAGATTCAATTCCCACTGTCCTATGTTCAATTTTTTTTCTGCTCATTTAAATCTGCTTTTGAATTCCTCTAATAACTTTTTGTGTATATACATGCCAGAGGGCATGTGTGCTCACCAGAGAGAGAGAGAGAGAGAGAATCTTAATGGGTGCTTTTGTTCTCCCATTTATCCAACCATCAGGATTTTGGACATGCGCACGTATGTGCCCTACGTGTTTTTCAAGCCACCTGGGCTGAGATTTGAACTGTGGCCGGCCACATAGGATCCAGTTCCCTACAGGTCGCACATAACTGCTGCAGTACAGGGCCAGCCCTCTAGTAAATTGTTTATTTCAGTTATTGTACTTTTTAGCTTCATACTTTTTTAGGCTTTCTATGTCTTTTTGGTATTTTCATTTTGTACATATGTTATTTTCTTCACATTCTCTATATTTCCCTTTAGTTTTTTTTTTTTTGTTTGCTTTTTTAGAGGTTTTACCTTAGGGCATGTGCATTCACCAGAGAGAGAGAAAGAGACAGTGAGAAGGAAAGTGAGAAATCATCCCTGGGAGGATGGCCACACTACAATCCCTTCTCCTCCATTCTCTTCCTGGGATTTTGGGCACACAGGCACATGTATCTGGTCTGATTTTTTTTTTTTTTTTTTGGGGGGGTTTTTTGTATAGGGGGGTGTGCCTCCCCGAGAGACAGAAAGCGAGAAATCACCCCCCAGGGGGGATGGCCACGCCGCAATTCCTTCTCCTCCATTCTCCTCTCAGGATCTTGGGCACGCATGCACAAGTGCCCGATGTGTTTTAAGCCACCGGGTCCGGGACACGAACTGCGGTCGACCACATGGGAGTCTAGCGACATAGCCATTACGCTAACTGCTGGTCCCAATCTGGCCTGATTTTGAAGCCACCTGGTCCAGGACTCAAACCATGGTTGGCCATGTGGGAGTATAGCCACATAAATGCTACTGCATCTGCTTGCCCCTCCCTTTAGTTCTTTAAGCATCTTTTAAGACAATTGCTTTAAAGGCTGTCTAGCAGATCTTCTCTCAGATATTTTTCAGGGAGAGTTTCTGTTGATTTTTTTTTTCCTCTGGTTAGGCCATACTTTTCTATTTCTTTGTATGCTTGAGAGTTTTTATTAAAAACTGGACACTTGGCTTTGATGGTAACTTTGAACATCATATTCGTCACATCCTCCTGGGGTTTCTGTTATTATTATTATTATTATTATTATTATTATTATTATTTTAATTGTTGTAAGTTTTATCTGCTTAGGATCAGTCAGAAATGTAAACTTAAGGTCTTTTCCATTCTTTTCTGAGCTTGCACCTTTTCCTGAGCATGTATGGTCATTTTCTAATATTTTCTGTACAAACAGTTGATTTATAATGTAATATTTAATATATGAATCCTAAAAGGGGAAAAATAAAAGTAATCAAGGGGAATATAGGAGGGGTGCTAGTCGTTTAAATCCCTTGAATGTTACATCAGCCAGAAAGGGAGGAACTTGCACCACACCAGAAGTCTAGGGGCATAAATAGTATTGGGACCAGCAGGTGGTGTGGTGGTTAAGGCACTGGACCCTCCCACATGGCTGACCATGGTTCAAGTCCCTGACCTGGTGGCTTGCTTTCTCACTTTCCCTCTCTCTATCTTTCTCTCTCTGATCAAATTAAAATAAGTGAATGAATAAATAAAATTATAAATAAACAAATAGTATTGGATTGATGTAAATTAATTATTTTATTTAATTCACAGCTTTTTCTCTTGCTATCTAGGCTATGTGCACCAGAATGCAAATCAACAGAAAGATTTGACTAACTTCTCGAGCAACATTCATTGCAGTCTTCTGTCTGTGAGGGTGATGGGAGGCTTTGCTTCTGGTTCAGCCCTACTATGCATTCAGGTGTACACATGGCTCTGTAGATTGAGCAGTACAAAGACATTCTTGGTGGTCATGCCCCTTGGAGTTCTTGTTTAATAACCAGAGCACCTCATATCCCAGTACTTCTCCTAACTGAATGGGCTCTAGAATTCTATTTTTAACTTTTTAACCCTGAGATCATTAAACTAAATTGGGGCCAGCAGGTGGCATGGTGGTTAAGACACTGGACTCCCACATGGCTGGCCATGGTTCAAATCCTGGGTCTGGCAGCTTACTTTCTCTCTTCCCCTCTCTCTTTCTGTCTCTTTCTCTTTGGTGTGCACACATTCTCTATAGCAAATTTTAAAATAATAATAAATAAAATAAGTAATTCTTATAAAAAAAAACTAAATTAGGGGTTGGACAGTAAAACACAGTGCTCTATGAAGTTGACCCACATGTGAAGGTTCTCATGTCTGGAGACTTTCCTGAGTCCTCTGGGTACACATGTGCCAACGATGCAGGGCTTCCTGAGGCGAGGGGTGAATCAGTGAATCACAGTGTCAAGACTCTATTGGAGTGCTGTCTCTGTCTGTCTGTCTGTTTCTTTCTCACTCATAGAAGAAATAAATAAACTTAAAAAACTGAATTAGAGAACTATTATATTACCCCAATGTACAATAGATCAAATGGCCATAATTTTATAACCTTTTAAAAAATAAAATTTCTTGGTAGAACTCTTAGAAGCACGGCTGGGAGAACTGCAGGTTTGTGTCTTACTCTTGGATGTTCAGTGGGGTAGATCACTTGGACCTTTACTTAAGGCAATTCTTGTAATTAGGTGAGGTCAAGAATCGGCTATTGTCCTCAGTTTGACGCCTTGCTGGAATACATGACAGCCCAGGAGATAATGATCATGTATGCCAGAATATGGGGAGTCTCTGAGCCCCAGATTGAGCCGTATGTGACCAAATTTTTTAAATCATTGGAACTGGAGTCTCATGCTGACAAGCTCATCAGCACCTTCAGGTGAGTCATTGTGCCGCTGCTCTCTCTTGTCGATGTTGCTAATGTCGAGGTGCTTCTCTGTGTCTGATTTGTGGAAGTAATGCCCTTAACTCCACCTAAGCCCTTCTGTCACAAAATTAGCTAACTGTGAAACTATCTCATGGCTCAGTTTCAGATGCCAGTAATAAGGCAGATTGATGTAGTTACACCTCTTCCCTTTGCAGAAATGAAACCCAAGACTCTAGTGTAGCCTCTGGATCTCAAAAGGGAGCATATTCTTCTTCCTAGTGACCCTATAATCATCTCCCAAGTAAGAAGGAATGTAGATGATGGTGGGTATGAATTACATTGAGATTTATATACCCGGAAAACCAATATATCCTAAAAACAAGTAAATGAATGCCACAGATAATGGTGCCAAATTTGTTGCATAAAACTCACTCTGCTACATCTCAAATTAAGATGAATTGATATACCCACTCGTACTTGAGCCTGCTGTCTTGTTAAAGTCACATCTAATCAGCATTGTGTATGTTCATGTTAAGTGTTTACTGGGACTATGAGCATTTAGGATATTCACGCGCTTTCCTGTAAATAACTAATATGTGTAGCCTTCTCTTCTCCTACTTTATCTCTTCTTTGGCTGTGAAGTGGAGGAAACAAACGTAGATTGAGTACTGCTATTGCCTTAATGGGAAAGTCCTCAGTCATATTCCTTGATGAGCCATCAACTGGCATGGACCCAGTAGCCCGACGGCTGCTCTGGAATATTCTGACACAGACACGCAAAAGTGGAAAACTCATCATTATAACCTCCCACAGGTGTGACTCATTGGGAAGCTTGATTGCGGGTTGTTGACAGGAGTTGTATAAGAGGGAATTATTGTGACTATAAGAGGAAATTATTTGAGGCCAGAATACTGGAAAGTCAACTTGGCTGAGTGAGCTATTCTTTAGAATTAGGAGTCATGTTAATCCTAAGAGATCGAATGGCCACAGATTCTCACTGAGCTAAAAAAAAATAAAAATCAAGAATGGGGAGAAGACAGGAACTTATGTTTCTATTTTTGTTATTTGAAAATTGTCCACCTCCTAACTATAAGCTTTGCGATTGGTAAATGAAATTCTTATTAAAAATAGAGATAATGGGACCAGTAGATGGCATAATGGTTACGTCACTGGACTTTCATGTACTCAGTTGAGTTTGAAGTCCCAGACCTGGTAGCTTAAAATTCATGCCAGGTGCATGTGCATGTATGCCAAAAATCCCAAGAGGAGGATAGAGGAGAAGGGATTACTGTATGACCATCCTCCATCCCCCAGGGAGTGATTTCTTTCTTCCTGTCTGTCTCTCTGGTAAATGCACATGCTCTATATCAAAAATCTCTTTCTTAAAAAGAAATAGAGACAAAATCCTGGTTCTGACTGAACTACACACCATCCTCCAATAGAGAACTATTCAACTTTACATAGTTCTCCTCTCTTGTTTTCAAGTATGGAAGAATGTGATGCCCTCTGTACCAGGCTAGCCATCATGGTACAGGGGAAGTTCATGTGCTTGGGCAGCCCTCAGCACCTCAAGAACAAGTTTGGCAATATTTACATCATGAAGGCCAAGGTCAAGTCTATGGATAAACTGGAGGATTTTAAAATTTTCATCACAACGAGATTTCCAGGTAAATCAGGTTATGCTAAGTTCCTTAGAGCTGTGTTATGTCACACCTATTGTTCTCGCCATCCACATCGTTTATGTCTTCAATTCCGATTTTCTGTGTGTTATTGCTGTTTAACGAGATTTCAATTCTATCTATTTTGGGGATGTCTGTTACTGCAAACCTCTTGTGCCAGATTATTCTGAGAAATTTACAAGGAAAAAAGAAAAAAAAAAAGATTTTCACCAAGCTCTTGCATTGCTACTGGGTCCCTGCCAGTTGATGGCTCATCAAGGAATATGACTGAGGACTTTCCCATTAAGGCAATAGCAGTACTCAATCTAGTTTTATATTTTTGTTGTTCATATAAATTATATCTCTACTGCCATTTTTGAACTTAATTCTCAATTGTTTTTATGTATTATTCATGCAATACTTATTTCCCTCTTATGCTAAACTAAGCATATGAGGTCTTTTGCTGTCTAAGTCAGGATATAATACTGAAATACAAATAAGAACCAGAGAGTCTTCCCTTTCAAGGGTAGTTCTGCTTCTGAATGCTAAATTCAGTATGCACCTCTCTGCCTATATGGTACAATACCAGGGACAACAACTATGTCTTTCTGTCCTTGCTAGTATCTGACTTGTATAAGCAAATGTTCTGGGCCTGTTTCTCTCTGTATGCACCTATATTTCCCAGATAATGGCTTGGTTATTTGCGGAGTTTTCACTATTGAAAAATTGATAAGTTCAAGAAACGTCATTAATTTGCAGTTTGTCTACCCTTTTCTATTCATAGAAACAGAAGTAACACTTCTCAGTTTACTGCACCTTAAAAAGGAAAGGGAAGTTAGTACAACCATTATTTTTAATTGCCAGAGGTCATGTGTACTTGCCAGAGAGAGAGACAAAGACAGAGACATGTGGAAAGGGAGATAAATCACCTCCTAGGTGGGTGGTCATGCCGCAATCTCTTCTTCACCATTTATCCATCTTTTGGGGATTTTAAGCATGCATGCACACGTGTCCAATGTGTTTTTCAAACCACTGCGCCCAAGATGAATCTTGCTATCAGTCACATGGGATCCAATTCCCTTTACCACCAGGCCACAGGGTTGACCTAGTATAACCAATTTTTAAAAGATCAATGGACTATAAGAATTCTACCTCCAGGTATGTATCATAGATACTTGTATCCACCCGTGGAAAAGAGATAAGTAAAGGAGTATTTATATCAGCCATATTCACAGTAGTCAGTCAATAGAAACAACGCATGTGTCTGTCAGTAGCCAAACAGAAAATAAATTATGGAATATTCATACACCAGACTACTAGAAAGAAGGGAAATGAATGAATTATAGCAATAAGTAGCAATATGAATGAATCTTAGAAACATAGCATGGAGTGAAAGAAGTGAAAAGACAATGTAAACTGGATCATTCCAGTCCCTTAAAATTCAAATGTGAGACAATCTTAGCTAAACTTTTAGATACACATAGGTAGACGAAAGACATTAAAAAAGGAGATGCCCAGACAGACATTACCTCGATGATGGGCCATCCAGTGCTTTTCTCTCAATATTTACCAGAAATTCCATAGACTATCTCATCAGGAATCAATCTGAAAGCATTCACTATGAAAGATAATTATTGGATCTGATACCCTTTTCTATAAGACCCATCTACTCACCCTTCCTCTGTATATAATTAAATAAATGTAGCACTATTTTGACATTTTTAAATGAAATCTGTGATATTATTCACCTGCTTTTCTTTCTTAGGTAGCATCCTAAAGCAAGAGAATCAAGGGATCCTTACCTACTACATTCCTAGCCAGGACAATGGCTGGGGAAAGGTGAGGAGAGAAACCATGCCCTTCCAATGTTCCCTGTTAAGTGAGCACTGATGATGGGAAATATCTGGGACTCGAGCATGTGGAATGGGAGCCTAGCATTTAAGTTTCTTTTCAAACACCCCTGGAGTTTAATTGCTTCAATTTCTACTCCTAAATCTCATTATTATTATTATTATTATTATTATTATTACTACTACTATTATTATTTTGGAGAGTTTTTTGCTACACGGCGTGTGCACTCGCCAGAGAGACAGAAAGAGACAGAGAGACAGAAAGTAAGAAATCACCCCCTGAGGGGATGGTCATGTCGCAATCTCCTCCATTCTCCTCTCAGGATCTTGGGCATGCACACACATGTGCCCAGCGTGAGTTTAAGCCACCAGGTTCTGAACTTGAACAGTGGTCAACTACATGGTAGTTCAGCAACATAGCCATTACGCTAACTGCTGATCCCCCTAAATCCCATTATCAATCCATATCTTTTAAGAGAATGGGGACACAAAACTGCTTCCTCTTGGTTTCTCAATTATCGAGTTTTCCCTCTGAGCCTTTTTCCTTCAAAAGAAACTTCAGTTGGGGACATGGAAGAGAGTCTTGTCTGGGTTGGGGACTAACGGGAAGACTGCAGTGGTCACTGTGTTTTTTTGTTGTTGTTAAAGGTGTTTGGCATTTTGGAGAAAGCTAAAGAAATATTTGATTTAGAAGACTATTCTATCAGTCAGATAACACTGGAACAAGTCTTCCTGACCTTTGCTAACCAAGATAAAACAGCAGATAATTATGAAGAAAAAGTGCCATGAAATTCATTCGCAACCAGTGACCCTAATTTCTTTGTTAGACTACTCTCTATCACACATGGCTACACAGAAGGATGCTCCTGTGTGTGTATATCTTGATGTAAATACATATATATATATAAATATGTAATAAAGAATCCCCCAAAGAAGACACTTTGTCCCCTTTTTTGCAGGCTTATATGAGTCACTTTGACTTCAGCATGTGGAAATTTGAAGCTATTTGGTAAAATTCCTGTTTTCTTTCCTAGAAATATGAAAGAGCACACTTTACTAGGGTAGAGACTAGGACTATTGTTGAGCATTCTGCGTGTTTGTACAGAAACATCCAGAAAAGATGGCATTGCCAGATGTGACAGGTTAAGAGCAACAGCTTTATATCTCAGCAGATGAGTGAGGGATAAGAGCATGACATCTGGAGGAGATTAATTTCATATTGATACACACAACACAAATGTGTAACACACAATTTCTCTCCCCCAAAATATTTCATTTAAATTAACCTTGATGTTTGAGGGATGCATTGGATTACTATTTCCAAATCTTAAAAAAAAAAAAAAATCCTATGCTTCAATTGTGAAAGAAGCTTTGTACCAAGGACATTTGGAGTCCATGCAAAGAAAGAATTTTTATTTTCTTTAAAAATATGTAGTGTTTTCCTTCCCATTCTTTCCTCACCTCTAAGAATGAGACCAATAGATTTTCTTCTGATTCCAGGCAGACGGAGTCCCCCATAACATGAGAAACCTAATCACTTCTCCATAAATTCATAGGCAGATGAGCAGATAATTAGGATGGCCTTTGTGGCATTTCAAGTGGAATAAAGTCTAAAATGTTGCTTTATTTGGGGGTGGCTTGTTCAATAATTTCACATCCTTAGTTGAATATAGTCAATTATAAAGTCATAATCAGAAGGTACTTTCTGTCCTGTTCTTTTTAGATAAGGAGGGGGTATAAGTTTGTTTCTATGAAAGAGCCTAGAAGTACAGTGTGCAATTTAATTCATAGCTTTTTTTCTGGATCTAGGCTAATGAGCACCTCAATTCCGATCAACAGAAAGCTTTGACTAATTGCTAAAGCAACATTTAGTGTAATCTTCTATTTATAGGAGTAGAGAAAAGCTTTTCTTCTGGTTCAGTCCTAAATGGAACAAGGCGTGTACATGTCTGTGAAAGATGAGCAGCCTACGAACATTCATGGTTGTCATGCCCCTTGGAGTTCCTGATTAATGAGAGAAATATCACGTATTCTAATTCTCCTCTAAACCGAGTGGGCCCTGGGATTTTTATTTCTAACTTCTTTATCCCCAGGATCATTAAAACTGAATTAGGGAACTTACTACTCCAACATATTACAGTAGGTCCAGCAGATATGATTTTGTCATCCCATGATCTGCCACCTGCAAGGGAGAAACACAGGAAAGCTGGTGGTACGTTCCAAGGCCTGAGATCCAGAGAGCTGATGGTCTGAATGGCTGAGTTCCAAGAATGCTGAGGGCAGGAGAAGATCGATAGCTCAACTGAAGCAGTCAGAGAGTGAATGAGCCTTCCTATTCTTTGTGTTCCATTCAGGCCTCATCGGATTTGGTGAGGCCCACCAACATCTGCTTTATCGGTTCACCAATTTAAATGCTATCTTTTCCCGGAAACATCCTCACAGACTCACCCAGAAATAATGTTTTATCATATGTAGTATCTGGATGAGAAGCAATGCTGGGTGGAATACCATGGTGGAGAGTGAGACATTCTATAAGCCCAAAGATAGTCATTTCGGCAGGCACGTTGTATGTGGGGAGGAAAATTTATATCTAAGTATACATTCCAGTTAGAACCCAGCACTGTCCCTTCCATGATTGAAGTGGCCTACCTGACACCAGGTGCCTGATCAACCCGAGTACTGGTGCCATATTAGGGGTTCGATGTTGATCTCTTCTGCTGACAGATTGGTTTACTCAGTTGTGGCCATAGCCAGGTCAGCCTTGGTGAGTTGAAGTCTGTGTTACTGTGCCCATTTAGAACCTTAATCCCAGGGGGCTGGCAGGTGACATGGTGGTTAAGAGTGCTGCACTCCCACATGGCCAACTGCGGTTCAAGTCCTGGACCTGGCGGCTTGTTTTCTCACTTTCTCTTTCTCTCTGTCTCTCTCACTCTGTCCCTTTCTGGTCTGTCTAAATAAATAAATAAATAAAAATTCTTTAAAAAAAAAAAAAAAAAGCCTCCACCCCTGCCCACCATGGCTACTTCGTTCATGAGCTCATTGTATGATAACAGAGTTGTCTGGGAAAGAAAGCTGACTGGTTCATAGAACAGGTTTTACCATCAACTCGATTATTACAATTCTCCTCTGCTGAGATCACCTTTTGGTAAGTAATCACATGAAATATAAATATCATTACTGGTTTTTGCCCGTTAATAGAGGACTATCAAGACAATAGATGGTGTGGATGTTAAGGCAGCCAGATCTCACATAGTGACTGCACAGTTTGAGTTCCAGACCCAGCAACTTGAAAAACATGCCAGGCATATGTGCGTGCCTGCCCAAAATCCTGAGGAGAGTGAAGAAGAAGGGATTGCATGTGTGACCATCCCCTCTGGGGGGTTGTGATTTTTCACTTTCCCTCTCAGTCTCTCTCTCTCTCTCTCTCTGCCTCTCCCTGGTGAATCCATGCACCCTATAGAAAAACAAAACAAAACAAAAAACCCACATACCTCTTCCATAAATTTCTTTGCCACCCATTTTCATTTTCAATCATGTTTCTTCAAAGTTTCTGACCATTCAGCCAGACAGTTGGCCACATCCCACAAAATCAGTATACAATTTCATATCTGGCCATTTTTTTTTTATTCCAACCAGAGTCAATAGCCAGAAGTACTTCTAGAAGTTCTACTCACTGGAAAGGTTTACTTTACCATGGTCCCTCAGGAATATACCCCAGAATAGTTGTAGTACTGCAACGGTCCACTTTAGGGTAAAGCCAGCATCTCTGTGCAGGACCTTCTGTAAACCAAGCCCAAGTTTTCTCTTCTTCTGTCAACTGATGGTAGAGAATTCCCCCTGAGGTCATAGGTACAGGCTAGGAGAGATTGTATAGCTTACCAGGAGTAGGAATCAAGGGCATCTGGTGAGCATGTGCGCCACTTCTTTATGTAATTACCTGGTTTATCTGTGCCTCAAGACCTACTCAGACTTGGTCCCAGTTATACCACTACCATTTGGTGGAATACTGTTATACTATGTACGATAAACTTTATAGTTGTGGAGTGGAGTCAAATAACAGCTATTTCAGGATAGGCAGCTGAGGTCATGTGTTAACTTGGGGACCCATGGTTAACCATTACGGTCTCTACTAAGATCCAGTAGCAGCCAGGAGCTGTTTCTGGAAAGGAGAGTAGTTCCCTTTAGAGGATGACAGAGCTTTGCTACAGTAGCCCAAGGGATTGTGCTTCAGTTAACCTATAGGGGCCTGCCACAGAAATTAAACGGCATTCTTATCTGCCATTGACACTTCAAACACCATTGGATCTGCTGGATCATATCACCTAAGTGACTGAGCAGGTTACACAGAAGCCTGGGTCTGTTGCAGAGACTTCTCTTGTTCTGAGTCTCACTCAAAAGTAGTAACTTTTTAGATCACGCAGTAAATGAGTCAGAATAACACACTTACATGAGATATATGTTGTCCCCAATATCCAAAGAAACTCACTAGGCCATTGTAACTCTTTTGGTTGTAGGAAGGGCTAGATGTGACAATTTATCCTCAACCTTAAAAAAGGTGTTTTTGAACCAAAGATGGTGTAATGGTTATGTCACTGGACTCCCACATAGTCGACCACAGTCCAAGTCATGGACTCAGTGGCTTAAAACTCATGCTGGGCACATGTGTGTGCGTGCATGACCAAAATCCAAGAGGAGACTGGAGAAGAAGGGATTGCAGTGTGGTCATCCCCCTGGGGGGGATGATTTCTCACTATCTGTCTCTGTCTCTCTCTGTCTCTCCAGTGAACACACACACCCTGTAGCAAAAATCTCTCTTTAAAAAAGAGGTATCTTAATATATCTCACACCACTGTATCCCTAGAAATTCCACTGAGGTAGAAGGCCCCGAATTATTCTTGTATTGGTACTTTGCCCACTGGCATACAAATGTCTTATCATTAAATCTAGAATAGTTGCTGCTTTTTTCTCTAGATCCCATCAACAAAACATCATCAATGTAATGGACCAGTGTGGTTTTATGGAAGGAAAATGCAATCCAGATCTCTGCAAACTAATTTGTGACATGGAGCTAGAGTGCAGATGTACTTTTAAGGTAGGACTGTAAAGGTATGTTGCTGTCCTTGGCAGCTGAAAGAAAACTGTTTCTGATGAGCCTTATTGGAAGAGATGGAAAAAAAGATGTTCTAGCTCAATAGCTGTATTCTATATCAGAAGATACTAATTTTCTCAAGCAATGAAACCACATCTAATATAGGAGCTCAAATGGAGTCACTATGTGGTTAAACCTGTGAGAGTCTACTGTCATTCCTCAAGATCTGTTTGTCTTCTGCTTAGGCTAAATAGGTAAATAGAATGGTAGTGTGTTTGGGCAGGGAGGAGGAGTATCACTGCATCTGCAAAGCTGAAGTCCTTGATGGTGGCACTTAACTCTGCAATCCATCCAGGAATGCAATATTGGTTTTGGCTGTTTTTCTTTTTTTATTAATTAGTTCATTGAATTATTTATTTTACATTCATTCACTGAGCATCATCACAGCATACAAAATGTGATTTTCCATACAGAATACACTGTATAGTGGCTTAATCATACATGTTATCATCGACAAATAATTTTCCATTTCTTGTTTCATATATATTTCCCCTATTTCTCACCCTCTGCTCTGTCTCACCCTCCTCCCACCCTGTCTCTGGTGTCTACAGTTGCTTTCCATTCCTTCCCCCCCCCACACACACATTTTATTGATTCACAAAATATCTTAATCTAACTACTTTCAATAGCAAGTTCAACTGGTATATACATACCTGTGAATACATATATGCCTTTAGGCGTGAAACTCTGAGTAGAATGAATTTAGTATAAAGTAGCACCTAGTTGATGCTACATAGCTTACTGTGGTCATTAGATAGGTTTTTTATAATATATTT